ACTTCAGTACACCCCTCCCCCCTTAACGCAAAATGCGCGTTCCAATCTTTGTCTGGGGCTTCAGAGTGGCTGATTGAATTAACTCAATACGTGATAGTTCGGTTTCCAGGAGGTCCATCATGTGCTCCACAGTAAGTTAACGCAGAGACGAGGACTTAAATCTGAGTTAGATTCTACTGAGAATAAACTGTAGAGCGCATGGTGCCCATCGCCGAAAACGACGGTCAAATGTCGTGTTTGTGTACTTGTGAAGTTAGGAACAAATTCATGTGGCGCATACGTAAGTGAGTACGTCGGCTTTCTCACACGCAGTCTTCTTTGGCGCTCTCAGGCTAGTAGAAGGCCATGGGAATAAAAAAGGCAGTAAGTTGGATGTCGTACCAGTCTGATTTGCCAAAATCATATTCGTGCGCAGGTCAACACCTTCATAAATTTTGAGGAGTACTAAATCAAATTGGATGCGATAGACGAAGTATAGGGCAGCCAATTGCTTTTTATAGATTTCTGCAACGATACGCAACTAGGTTTTACCTACTTTAGACAAAAGGCATATACCAAAGACTTGTCTGGCGACTTTACAGGCTCATATGCGATAAAAGACTGTCGCAATGTCTTACTCACCACTAAATGTACATAAAGGGCTTAGTTGCACTGTTTTAAGGGTTTCATTTCAGCAGGATTAACCAAGAACATGTTCAACTCGACAAAAATCAAGTTGGCTCTACTGAACGATATGCAAGCAAATTTTCATTTTAAAATAAATGAAGTTTCTTCATCTTCTTTTTCCAATTAATTTATTTTTTCTGTCAGAGCTGCGCACTTAAGGGAAAACTCCGAATAGGTATAAAAAACTTGTTATAAACTAACTTAGCAAAGAAAACAAGTTGGCCAAATAAATTCCCATATGAGAGGAATAAATCACTCTATGGCTGAAAACCAACTTGAGCCGAAGAACAGCGTGAAAAGAAAGAGCTATATGGCCAATTTATTTCACTCTCCCATGTGAATGTCTTTGCAGACTCTCACCCGAAACGTGTCAAATAAATCCCAACAACTTCCTCCGTAGGCAATTGGCCAAGAAAAGTGCATTTGAAAATCCCTACTGAACAAGGATAACTGCGATTCTACTGCTGAACTTTTATCACCTTGCTCACCCATAATGCTAATGTACACTTCTGCGAGTCCTGCAAACAACGTTCAGGACGAAATTTAACTTGGTACTTTGGCGTATATCTGGACATGTTATTTTGATCGACTGAGTGGATTTAATAATAAGA